AGCCGAAGTGGTTTGCCGAGAGAAGACTGTTGCTGTCGAGGCAGGGAGGAGGGGCCCGAAGCGTGAGGGGAGCGATGAGGGCCGTGTTGACGTGGAGAGACAAAGTGGAGCAATGGTGAGAAGCGGGACGCTCCGGGATGGCGGGGGAGGCGGCGGGAAACGGGTGCGTTGCCATGGCAACGGGGGGGACTCTTGATGCTGCGTCTCCGACTCCTCAATGGAAAGAGAAACCGAGATTCCTGGAGGGGGCTTGGGGATCATCCGAGGGTGGCGGTCTCCGGGAGCGCTCCAGTCTTGCTCCTAATCCCTCCGGACTTCTCCAACCCACCACAGGGTTTCTCAGCTTCCTAACCTTTGATACATCTTCCAAGTGCCCAAATTTTGGTTCCCTGACATTTTTAAAATTTCTTCTCTCTCTCTCTCTCTCTTTTTTTTTTTTGGAGACAAGGTCTCACCTTAAAGCTCTGGCTGGCCTGCAACTCTCTGTGTTGGCCAAGCTGGCGTTAAACTCACAGAGACCTGTCTGCTTCTGCCTCCCCAGCACTGGGATTAAAGGAATGCACCACCATGTTCAGCCTACCTCACTTTTATTTAAACATGCTTTCTATGCAGAAAATTACTCCATGCATGAAGAATCAATATCATTTGTCCCAAGTGCAATAACTAAAACATTTAAGCAAGAACAAACATAACAGTGTGAGTAACTTGCATCTAGGTAGTTAAAAGGGAGTGTTTCCACCTAAGCTGAACCATTTCTACTTGCCCTACTGTGTCTCAAGTTGGACATTGCCACGAAAGGTCAGAGAGACATGTAAGATGAGCATCAAATAAAGACATTCTCCTGATTAGAAAGCTTGAAAAAGGGGCTGGAGAGATGGCTCAGGTTAAGAGCACTGCTTTGTTTTTCCAAAGGTCCAGAGTTCAATTCCCAGCAACCACATGGTGGCTCACAGCCATCTGTAATGAGATCTGGTGCCCTCCTCTGGCCTGCTGGCAACATGCAGGCAGAACACTGTATACATAATAAATAAATCTTAAAAAAAAAAAAAAAGCTTGAAAAAAAAAAAAAAGGCTTAGTAAAGTTTAGAGCAAGTACTTCCTGCACAAGCTTGAGGACCAGAGTTCTGACCCCAGCACCTAATATAAAAAAAGCCAGGTGTAGTCCTATCCAAGCCTGTAATACTGCTACAGAGAGGAATCAAGACAGGATAATTGATGGGGTTTGCTAGCCACCAGCTTAGCTGCGGGGGACAGGGCCTCCAGGTTAAGGGAGGAAGAGGACACCTGATGTCCTCTGCACACACATGTGTATATTCACGCACATTTACACACACACACACACACACACACACACACACACACACGCACGCACGCACACACCCACGCACGCACGCACACATGGGCACACAGGCTTATAAAAATAGTTTGATAAAGGATGGAAAGAAAGCTGGGCCCAAATCTGTAATCCCAGCACTTCTAGAGGAGGAAGCAGGAGGATTGGGAGTTCAAGGTCATTCTCAGCTACATAGTTTAAGGCCAACCTGGGCTCTATGAGACCCTGTTTCAAAAAAAAAAAGAAAAAAGAAACTGGATTGGGAAAATGGATTGAGAGGCACTGGCTGCCCCGTGACAGAATCTGGTTGAAGGAGAGAACCAGCTGCACAAAGTTGCCCTCCCACCACCACACCAGTGCCATGGCATGTGTACACACACAGTTACACATAAATAGTAAAAAATGGCTGGGCATAGTAGTGCACACCTTTAAACCCCAGGAGGCAGGGGCAGGAGAATCTCTGTGAGTTGGGGCCAGCCTGGTCTACAGTGTAAGTTCCAGGACAAGTAGGGCTACACAGAGAAACCTTGTCTCGAAAACCAAAATAAATAAATGAATAGTAAAAAATGTTTTATAAAAGAAAATGACAGTAGAAGAACTTTGCCATCTTAATAATTCAATGCTGTCTGATGTCTGCTCTATTTTGTCACCAAAATTCATCAGCCAAGAACACATTTTGGGAAATTCTGGCTTATTGACTAGTTCTCAGCCTGAATCTTCCTAGGTGGTCTGTTCATCTTCACACTACTCTGTCTGTCCCGAGGCCTTTCTGTGTATGACACTGAGATCCTAAATACCCCTCAAGGCTCGCTTTGGAGAAACTTGCACAAGTAACAGCTAATGCTGAGTTGTTCCAGACATTGCCTAAGAACTTTGTGTCCTTTACCTATTGCCTCTTCACAGCGGCTCTGAGGGAGGTACTATAATTACCTCCATTTACAGTGAGGAAACAGAAGTCTAGAGAGGGTAGGTAAGTGTGTGCAAGGGGGAGCTAGCTCAGCTGGCCCTATTTCAAAGCCAGTTGTTTCAGCCTCTACCTGCAAGTAGTGTGAATAGGCCGTACTTAAATGTAAGGAATTTCTATTGCTTGCAGGACATTCTCCTGCACCCTACTTGAACTGTGTCACTTTGCTAGTACCTTTCATTTTAATAAAACCCTTTTTGGTGGTGAGCAGTAGGATGCTCAGCAGTTGAAGGTGCTTGCTGCCAAGCCTAATGACCCGAGTTTGATCCCTAGAGCTCCTGCAGTGAAGGAGAGAACCTACTCCTGCTAGTTGTCCCTCTAACCTCCAGAAGCTCTCCATAGTACACATGGCCCCAATAAATAAAATTTAAACATTAAGCATGGTTTTGGTCTTACTTTTTTGAGACAGGGTCTCATGTATTCCAGACTGGGCCTGGGTTTCTGGTTCTCCTGCCTGAACCTCAGCAGTGCTGGGTAATTGCATAGCTTTATTACTTTTCTCTTCACTCTAGTATAAGAGCACTCACAGCCAGGGGTGGTGGTGGCACACACCTTTAATCTAGCACTCAGGAGGCAGAGGTAGGTGGATCTCTGAGTTCGAGACCAGCCTGGTCTACAGCGTGAGTTCTAGCATAGCCAGGACTACATAATGAGACCCTTTAGTGGCTTTCTCAGAAAACAAAACCAAACAAACAAAAAAAGAGCACCCACAGTACAAGCTGGCAATAACTGGCAACCAAGCATTTGGCTTCTGTGTCAGAGAGCAATAGGGAGTGGCAAGGACTATGGCAAACTGGAAGGCTTACAGTCTGCATGAGAGGGGCAGCTGCTGCTCTGCTCCTGCCAATTACCACTGCGTAGGAATTTGGCCTGGTGTGTGCAGATCTTCCTATTTTTACCAGAAGCTAGGAATCTGCGTTTTAAATGTGAAATGTCCTAATTTTTAAATGTTGGCACCTAATTAGAAAAAACAAAGTAAAACACCATGTGGGCCAAACAAAACATTTGCTGGTCAAATGCAGCCTGATCTGCTCTGTTCTCAACCCCTGGCACAGAATTTGGTTCATTCTGCTCTTGTGGTACTTAGAGTCTGTTGGGTGTGAGAGTTATGTTTTAATCTGTTTATCCCAGAAGTCTACAAACCTTGTAAAAGCAATGGCTATATCTTATTTCCAAATGTTTCTGGAGCCTGTTACTATTTGGTGAATAGATGTGTGTAAGCATGAGTGAATAACCAAGTGAATGAACGACCAATGAAGACTGCAAAACCATCTAATAGAACAGGAGGTGCAGAGGTTCTGTAGGCCTGCAGCCTGATGATGTCTACATGTGCAGGCTGGTGGAATGGAACAAAACAACAAAACTAACACCTAGGTAGTAGATCCACCAATCCCAGATGCCTTTGACTTGCCCTCCAGCCAGCATGGGCTCCTGCTCTGCACTTTTGCTTCTGGTCTGTCTTTGACCCAGCAGCAGAACTCACTCAAGACCTGCTGCTGTGATTCTGTCACTCTTCTCCTCGTAAACCCACGGTCACCTCTTTCATGTCAAATTGTGCATTTTGCTGGGTGGTTCCCTGGCCTCCTTCCTTCTAGGCTTGCTAACATTTAGACTTGTGTTTTGGAGCTTAGCCAAAGACTCCATTTTCCTAC